CATTGGGGAGAAAAATACATGAAGACTAATTTTAAAACAGTCCTGTTCACTGATGAGTGCTGTGCAACCCTGGATGGTCTAGATGGATGGAGTAGTAGATGGTTGGTGGACGGCCACCCTGTTCTAACAAGGTTGCGACATCAGCAAGGTGGTGGTTGCAATAACTGGCTGTGTGTTTATTTAGTTGAATAAATCTTTTATATATATATAGATAGATAGATAGATATTTCTTCTTGGGTCAGGCTCGCCACATTAATATATGTCTATATTAATGAAAAGTACTAATACGCAATCTGACGTTCTTTATAAAAATTAGGCATTTATTCTACTTCAACAGCAAACAATAATATACTTAACAGATGGTATTTCTTAACAACATTACAGAGAGTCGTTTTTGTATCAACAACTCAGGACATCAGAGAGGAGAGCAAAATGGATTGTAGAAGGAAGAGCCCGTGATCCTTTGTCCTCTGCCCTCTATAGCCCAAATTACGTCATCACGTTTAGTTTAGACTCTGGCCATATAAGGAAATTCCCCATATAAAGACCAACCCAAATCTCTCTTATACAGCAAATTTCAGAGACCTCATGGTACAGAATAGCAAACGCCATCTGTTCTGTTTAACCCTTTAGACAGCCACACCTTAATATGTATTTGAATAGGAACATATAGAATATTCAATATTCTACATTTCCCTCTGTTTATGGTTTATATATAAACCATAACAAAATGTGATTTACCTGTCCATTCATACATCATTTGTATCACATTCATATCACAATCATTGGGTATAAGAAGAGATGTGTTCATAGCTTCCCAGTATCTGAGATTCCTTGGAAGTATTGTGTATTACCCTGTTTACAGTTTACTTTAGTGTATTCTCCTTCTGTTTAACCTTTCATTTACGAGTATATACAGTTTTCTAATTCTACATTGCATAATTACTTGTAAAATGATACATATTATAGATACACATATAACAATAATAAATGGATGAAATAAAATATTTACAATTGCTGATCCTAGAGATGATTTAGCCAGTGTGTTTGTACTTTTAATTATGTCATTCCACCAAGAGGAACTAGAATCAATTGACCATTCATGTTCTATCACCTTTAATTTACCATGTTCATGTTCAAATTGAATTTCTGTTTCTTTCAACTGTTTTTGTAACGAATATAATAATATCTTGTCTTTCCTAATCTCATCTGCTCACTTTCTCCATG